TCTATTTCAAAAAAACGAGTGTTATCTCAACCCAGAGTGCTTTTATTGTTATATATTGTAACCTTTTAAAGTCTAAACCTTGTAAACCAGAGATAAATGGTGTAAACAGATACACTGTGTTAATAATAATAATCCTTGCCTTTGATATAGCTCTTTACCACGTCTTCCAGACGTCTCAAAACGCACAGAATATACAGTAAACTGAATTGACTGTATATTTTGTGGGCAAAACGTGGCAGCCAATTGCTCATAGCAGCGTCCCACAAACAGTCGTGGATTGAGTGACCAATTGTTCTGTGTCCTTGGCACATGAATTTGTTTTATTAGGTCTCAGCCTCGTCCAGTTGGAAACACTTTCGCCTTTGAGTCATGAGGTTGTGGGTTTGTGCCCCACACCAGGACTTGAATTTACATAGACTAGGCTGACACTCCCAACTTAGCGCAGGAGGTTGCGTTGTTAAAGGTGCGGTACTTCAGCTGAGACATTAAACCAAGGTCCTGTCTGGATTTTCAGTGAATGTTAAAGATCCCGTGATGGTATTTGAAAAGGTAGAGACGTTTAGTCCAAAGCTCTGGCCAACAATCCTATAGATTTTTTTTTGGTCAGTTGGGTGTCTGACACGTGCAGAAACCCATCACCGTGGCTTAAGAGTATCCAAACCAAACTGAGAATTCCACGCATCCCACCCACACATGGAAATCCCAGAGATAGATTGTTGGAATGGAATACGCACTCTCTCACGGGAGGGACACATCCTGCTTATCTAATTCAGGAAAGTATTAGGCACAGGTTGGCAAGAAACAAGGCTTGGGGAACCCAAAGTGTGCACTGGGGTAACTGCTGGAGTCTAACCAGCCAAAAACCACATAGCTTGCCACTGAAAGTATTGGCTGGCAAGCTTTCCTGTTGCTTGTTCATCCAGAACCATCCTACTTGTCAGAGCTATGGTTGCAGGGTTAACAGAAGCTGAGTGACTGGTCTGCTCTTCCAGGTCCTGCCGATGCCGATGAACCAATCTGGCTGTGCTGTCATCAACAGTGCTCTGGAGCACTGCAGACAACAATAACAACAACAACAAAATTACATTTGCAAAGCACCTTTCATATCTGGAGGAAGTCCCAAGGCGCTGGACAGACAGAGTTTTGAACCTGAGCTGGGGGTCGGGGAGGGTGGAAGGAATGGGGGGAAGCAGGGAGATCGTAAGCACGGTCAAAGAGGAGTGTCTTGAGATGGGTCTTGAAGAAGACAAGGGAGGGGGAGAGATGTGGGGTAGAAAGGATAGTTGAGGGTCAATCAAGACCCCAAGGTTCCGGACTGGTTTAGCAAGGTGGTGATGCTGTCAGCGCCTGAGGTGTGGAGGCGCTGACGGGAGCCAATCAGGAGAGCCTCAGTCTTGATGCCGTTCAATTGAAGAAAGTTCTCTCTCATCCAGGACTTGATGTCTGACAGACATTCTGTCAGGACAGCAGTGGTCCTGGAGTCAACGGTGGAGGCAGAGAGGCAGAGTTGGGTGAATTCCGCACACATGTGGAAGTTGACCCCATGTCTGCGGATGATGTCACCAAGGGGGAGCGTATAGGTATTGAAGAGGAGAGGACCAAGGACAGAGCTCTGAGGAACCCCACACGAGACGGTACGGGGGCTAGAGGAGAAGCCGTTTGAGGAGATGAAGTGCAGGAGGTGTAAGAGGTACGATCTGAACCAATCAAGGACAGCGCTGTGGAGGTTGAGGTAAGAGGAGAGGTGGAGGTTGAGGATAGAGTGGCTGATGGTGTCAAAAGAGGTCAAGGGGGAGAGGAGGCAGAGGGAGCCCTGGTCGCAGATGGACAGAATGTAATTAGTAAGTTTGACCAGGGCTGTTTCTTGCTGTGGGCGGCACGGAAACCCGATTGGAGGGGTTTGTGAAGGGAGTGACGGGAGAGGAAGGAGCGAAGCTGCGAAGCAACTACTTGTTCCAGGATCTTGGAGAGGAAGGGAAGGTTGGAGATGGAGTAAATCTGGTACACGGCATTGAACTCGGACCACGAGAACTTCAAGGTATATCACAAGATGTCCTAGAAAGGTCCTCCCCAATCCTACAGATAAATCAGTCATTTTGTGCAAGGATTATTATTTTTATTATTTTCTCCTGGTTTACAAGTTCTTGGCTTTAAAAATGCCGCTTTGACAAGAAACCATTGCGCACAAAAGAACTTCAAAAGAATGCGATGGCTCTGTAATATAACAATAAAAATAACTTTCAGTTGAGACAGCGCTCTTTCTCTCTCGCTTTCTCTCTCTGCTGCAATCTCGATTACTCCTTCACTGGCTCCAGGGAGGCAAAGAGGGGAGTACGCGATGGTTTAATCTCCCACCTCTTGCCTTGCACAACAACAAATTATATAGGAACATCGGAACAGGAGTAGACCATTCAGCCTCTCGAGCCTGTTCCGCCATTCTATAAGATCATGGCTGATCTGTACCTCAACTCCAATTACCTGCCTTTGCCCCATATCCCTTGATACCCTGACCTAACAAAAATCTATCCACCTCAGTCTTGAAAATTTGAATGGATCCAGTATCCACAGCCTTTTGGGGGAAGAGCGTTCCAGATTTCCACTACCCTTTGTGTGAAAAAATGCCTCCCGATTTCACTCCTAAATGGCCTTAGCTCTAATTTTAAGACTAAGTCCCCTTGTTCTGGATTCCCCCACTTTACATTTGCCTTTCATATCGGGAGGATGTCCCAAGGAGTTGTTCGGAAGAGGAACCCGGGGTTATCCTTGCCCTCCAAGATTATCTTGGGGTAGAAGGATGATTTAGTGGAGGTGAGGGATAGTTGGATTGTTGGATCTACGTTCACGTGACCATATTTTGTAAACCAAATCCGGGGACACACACAATAAAAAAAATTGAACTCACCAGAATTGATGACGCTGACAGTACTATCTGGGAGAAGCCTGTTGGATTAATGGCTGCGTTTCTCTGATGAGTGTCTCCGTTTTAGAATTTTATCGTTCTGCTCAGTTTGTTGCTGAATTCAAGACAGGGCAGATTTGACCAGGAGACCCAACACCTCAACTGGGACTGTCCCCAGAAATCAGGGACATATGATCACCCTAATTATACTTTATTTCTTTCGAACGCAAATTTTAGGAAATAATATCTCGGCATTTTGATATATAGTTTGGGACACGACTTGTCAAGCAACTGCCAGGATAGCGCAAGGTGAACTGAATGGACCCTGGTCTTCATTCTTCTAGCAATTCTTATGTTCCATGCACCCTGATCAACCATCACCTACTCACAGTCTCGACTGAGATCTGTTATCTCTCCATAGCTCTAAAGCATATGGAGATTAGAGCACATGGCGTCCTGTACCATAGTGGTTAGAGCACTCGCCTCGTAAGCGAGAGGACCCAGGTTCGATCCCCTGGCAGGGCGAAACCTTAGGCAAGTTTCCTTACTCCTTACGCCTCTGTTTGCCTAACAGTAAGTGGGAACTCAGTTGTTAGTCAATTGGTGGATCGTTTTCCAAGAGTATATTCCTTCCAATAAATAAATAAATGAATGAATAAATAAATAACGTGGTCACTTCAATCCACGACTGTTTGTGGCACGCTGCTGTGTCCAATTGGCTGCCGTGTGTCGCCCACAAAATATACGGTCAATTCACTTTACTCTATATTCTGTACGTTTTGCGACGTCTCGACGACGTGATAAGGCGCTAAATCAAATTCAAGGATTATTATTATTTCGAAGCTGATTTTCTGCACGTTTCTTTGGAGGAAACTCCTGAAAACGGGATTCAAAGTTGAAACTGAATTAAACAACTTCCCAAAAGCACGTTAGTAAATTGAGTGTCTGCGTAGGATACTTGGAACTCGCAGTTTGGTTTGCACACTGTTTAGCAGAGTCACAGGTTTCCACATGTGTCAGACTGCTGCCTGACTCGAAACAAATTTAATAGACTAAATAATAATAATAATCCTTGAATTTGATATAGAGCCTTATCACGTCTTCGAGTTGTCTCAAAGCGCTTCACGGAATATGTGGAGTCCTGTAGCTCAGTGGTTAGAGCACTCGCCTGGCAAGCGAGAAACCTGGGTTTGTTTCCCGGCAGGACAAAACCCTCAAGAAAAAATAATAATAAAAATAAACTTGGTCACTCAATCCACGACTGTTTGTGGGGCACTGCTGTGCACAATTGGCTGCTGCGTTTCACTCACAAATATACAGTCAATTCACTTTACAGTATATCCTGTGAAGCCCTTTGAGCCGGCCTCGAAGATGTGAAAAGCGCTATATCAAATGCAAAGATTATTATTATGATAAAGTGAATTGGCTGTATAGTTTGTGGGTGAATTTTTTTTTACCATCTCACCTGAAGGACAGACAATGCAACACTCCCCCCAGCACTGAGTGTCAGCTTAGACTTTGTGATTCCAAGTCCCGAGGTGGAGCTTGAACACCACAAACCGTCTGACTCAGAGGCGAGAGTGCTACCACTGAGCCAGACTGACAAAATATACAGTCACTACACTTTACAGTAATCCTGTGAGGCATTTTCCTACGCACTGCTGGGTCAACAGAGGCGTGTGGAGTAAGGAAACTTGCTTAAGGTTTTGCTCTGCCCGGGAATCGAACCCGGGTCCTCTCGCTTGTGAGGCGAGCGCTCTAAACACTGAGCTACGGGACTCCACGGCGGTGATAGTAAGTGCGGGGTATAAGATGCTCTGATCTGTGTGGCTGATAACAGCCCCTATGTAGGGGAGGAGGAGAGGGGAGGAGTTGAACACGTGAAATCTAGTTCATTTCATCTCTCTCTCGCTCTCTCAGATGACACTGACGTGCAACAGAGGAGCTGGGCAGAAATCTCACAGTCCTGCCTTCCTCTCTCTCTCTCTCTCTCTCTTTATTTTTTCCTTCTTTCTTTCTCTCCTCCTCCCCTTCCCAGTTCCCATCTGGGACTATTATTTGGACTAAGAGAGAGAGAGAGAGAGAGAGAGAGCGGGAGGGAGGGAGGGAGGGAGGAAGGAAGAAAAGGAGGGTTGGTTTGGGGGATGTGGTTCAAAACAGGGTTATAAAAAGTGAGACTAACCTCGAGAAATCCAGAGCGAGAGAGAGAGAGAGAGAGAGAGAAATAGATAAAAGAGAGATATATAGGAGAGAAAGAAAGAAAGAGATAAAACGAGCCTGATGTCTTCACTGTCGGGAACTGACTGACAAGAAGAAGGAACAAAACAGAACAAGCCAGAGGTATGAACTGTCAAAGGAGAAAGACTTTACACAAAGGTTCAGTGTTGGTGGATCCATCATGAAATCTCCTGCCTGTGGGCGCTTTTTCCTGGTCTTCCCCTGGATCCTGATCGTGATCATCGTGGTGGACGTGGACGTGAGGAGAAGGTCCAAGTCTGACCAGAGAAGATCCGTCTCCCCCTCCCTGCTCCCTGGGGGCAAAGAGGTCTCCCCCAACCCCTCCTTGCCCACAGTCTATGCCATCACCCCCACCTACTCCAGGGCTGTGCAGAAGGCAGAGCTGACCCGCCTGGCCAACACCTTCAGGCACCTGGAGAACTTCCACTGGATTGTGGTGGAGGATTCCCCCTCCAGGACCCCCCTGGTGTCCCAGCTCCTGAGCCGCTCCGGGCTGCGCTCTTACACCCACCTCCATGTGCTGACCCCCCGCAGGTACAGGAGGTCAGGGCTGCCCCGGGCCACCGAGCAGAGGAACCAGGCTCTGGGTTGGATCCGCCAGAACAGGTCTCCGCGACATCCCGGAGTCGTGTTCTTTGCCGACGATGATAACACTTACAGCCTGGAGCTGTTTGAGGAGGTAAAATAACCATTACCCTCTCCCTCTCTCTTCTCTCCTTATTCCCTCCCTCTCTCATTCTCTCCCTCTATTCTCTCCCTATTCTCTCCCTCTCTCATTCTCTCCCTCTCTTTCTATTCTCTCCTTATTCTCTCCCTCTTTCATTCTCTCCCTCTATTCTCTCCTAATCTTATTCTCTCTCTCTCTCTGTTCTCTCCTTATTCTCTCCCTCTATTCTCTCCTTATTCTCTATCTCTCTCCATCTCTCCCTCTCTCTATATTCTCTCCATATTCTATCTCTCTATTCTCTCATTATTCTCTCCCTCTCCTCTCTATTTTCTCCTTTTTTTTTCTCTCTCTCTTCTCTCTCTCTATTCTCTCCTTATTCTCTTTTTCTAGATATGTTCTTTATATATACATATTCTCTCTTTCTTCCTCTCCCTATTCGCTCTACATATACTGTATATATATTCTGTCTTTCTCCCTCCTTTCTCTCTCTCTCTATTCTCTTTCTCTCTAACTCTCTGTCTCTTTCCCAATGATGATAACACTTACATCCTGGAGCTGTTTGAGGTGGTAAAAGATCTATCATCAACCTCTCTCTCTCTCTTTCTCCCTATTCTCTTTCTCTCTCCTCTCTCTTTCCCTATTCTTTCTCTGTCTCCCTATTCTCTTTCTCCCTCCTCTCTCTTTCCCTATTCTTTCTCTTTCTCCCTATTATCTTTCTTTCTCTCTCTCTCTTTCCCTATTCTTTCTCTTTCTCCCTATTCTCTTTCCCTATTCTTTCTCTTTCTCCCTATTCTCTGTTTCTCTCTCTCTCTCTCTTTCCCTATTCTTTCTCTTTCTCCCTATTCTCTTTCTCTCGCTCTCTCTCTCTCTCTCTCTTTCTCTATTCTCTCTTTCTCTCTTTCTCCTCTCTCTTTCCCTATTCTTTCTCTTTCTCCCTATTCTCTCTCTCTCTCTCTCTCTATTCTGATGATGATACTTACAGCTTGGAGCTGTTTGAGGAGGTAAATGATCCATCATCAGCTTCTCTCTCCCTATTCTATCTCCCCCTCCCCATTCTCTCTCTCTCTCTCTCCCTATTCCATCTCTTACAGTATTCACTCTTTCTCTCTCTCCCTATTCTCTTTCTATCTCTCCCCTTATTCTCTCTCTCTCTCTCTCTCTCTCAGTATTCTCTCTCCCCCTCTTCTCTTTTTCTGTCTGTTCTCCCTCTTTCTCTCCATACTCTCTCTCCATATCCTCACTCTCTCCCTATTCTGTCTCTCCCCATTCTCTCTCCCCCTATTCTCTCTCTCTCTAAATATATTCTCCCTCTTCCTATTCTCTCTCTTCCCATTTTCTCTCCCCCCATTCTCTCTCTCCCTATTCTCTCTCCCCCCCCCACCCCCTATTCACTTTCTGTCAGTACACTTTCCCTCTCTGTATATCTCCACTGAATACAGATTCTATCCACATTTCCTCTGTGCGCTTTCTATCTCTCTCCCCCACCCCTCACTTGCCTCTAGTTGTATCCTTGTGTCTCTGCACTTTTCGCTTTACTCAGATTCTTCTTTGCCTTCTCTGTTCTCGGTGTATATTTCACTGTCAAGTTAGTCTCTCGGTTACACTCTCTCCAGTCAATTGCACCATCTGCATTCCATCTCTACATGGCATTCTCTTTAGTCTATTTCTACACTCTCTGTCTTTAATCTATCTCTACATTACCCTCTACTTATATATTATGCTCTCCATCAGCTCATTCTATCTCTACATTATCCTCTCTCAAATCTATCACTCTATTACACTCTCCAGTGAATATGTTACCCTCTCTCAAGCCTATGCCTACATTACAATCTATCTAATTTATCTCTATTTCACACTCTCTCTAGTCTATCTCTGCATTACAACAACAACTTGCATTTATATAGCGTCCTTCACACAGGTTTAGCGTCTTGGAGCGTCATTGGTGGATCTTGACTCTGAGTCAGGTAGAGAGGGTGGGTGGGCGAAGAGAAAAGTCTTCAGCTGCGATGTGAAGACGGGCAAGGAACGGGGCAGGGCAGAGGGATTGTGATAGAGCGTTCCAGAGTCTCAGGGCCACAGATGGTGAAGCGGAGGGGACGAGGGACATGCAGGAGGCCGGAGCTAGCTGGGCGAAGTGTGTGGGTAGAGGATTGGGGTTAGAGCGTCTATCTCCACGTAAGATTCTCTCAGACGAAGTCTGTATCACTTTGGAGTTTTGACCCACTAGAAACGAGCAAACCTGGTCCCCTGTTCAGGGAAGGTGACCGTCACAGCAATTAGCCTGACCTCAATCATTCAAAAACTAATGGAGTCAGTCATCAGAATGAACACAGTCATCGCTTTACAATAAATACTGTATCAAATGCTAGGATTGTTACTATAATATAATATGGTGGAGTCCTGTAGCATGTTGTTTAGAGCACTCGCCTCGCAAGCGAGAGGACCCGGGTTGGATTTCCGAGCAGGACGAAACCTTAGGCTAGTTTCCTTACTCCCCACGCCTCTTATTTACCCAGCAGTGTGTTGAAACCCGGTCGAATGGCGGATCGCTTTCTGGGGTTCATAATCCCTTCCGCAAAAAATCTGATCGCTCAATCCACGACTGTTTGTGGGACGTCGCTGTGCGCAATTTCCAGCCGTGTTTCCCCCGCAAAAATACACAGTCAATCACTTTGCAAGATACTCTGGGAAGCGCTTTGAGATATCTGAAAAGACCTGGTATCAAAGATCAAAGATTATTATGATAATAATAATAAAAATCCTTGCATTTGATATAGCACTTTTCACGTCGGGAGGACGTCCCAAAGCACTTCACAGAACACACTCTAAAGTGAATTGACTGTATATTTTTTGTGGGTGAACGCGGCAGCAATGCCCCACACACAGTCGTAGATTGAAAATGACCAATTTATTATAGTTTTTGGTTTTGGAGGGATTATTATTAGGCTCTGTGTGGAGTAAGGAAACTTGCCCAAGGTTTCGCCCGATGTACGATTTACTTTTTTTTAACACAAGGTTATGATGTGAGGTGGATCCCTGTCTCTTTCTCAATCAGTGGTTTCCGCTCGTCTCTGCTCCTGTCTCCCTCAGCACTGCCCGTCCACAACGCTGTGTGCATTTGCTACGTTCTGTGCTGGAAACTGACTGAGAATCTGACTGACTTATTGTGTCCTCAGTCCTTGCAAGTACTCAGCTCACAGCGCTGCTTCCCAACGCCACTGAAACTGTTGCATATATTTAAAAGCGCTATCGTCAAAAATGACGAGAATGCATCTGAATATAAAATTTCCCCCTTCCCCCACCCCACCACCACCACTGCCAAACATAGACGGCAAAACTCTGTGGAAATAGAATAGATTTCTCGTTGGCTCCAGTGTGTGTGTGTGTGTGTGTGAGAGAGAGAGAGAGGGAGAGACTGTGTGAAAGATGTCCTGTGAGAGAAAGATTGTGTGTGAGAGGGAGGGAGTGTGTGCGTGTGTGAGAGAAAGACTGCATGAAAGATAACCTGAGAGAGCGGGAGTGTGTGAGAGAGTGACTGTGGAAGAGAGACTGAGAGTGAGATATAGAGAGTGTGTAAGAGAGGGAGTGCATCTGAGAGAGAGGGACAGTGAAAGAGATATTGTGAGAGAAAGACTGTGTGAGAGAGAGGGAGAGTGTGTGTGTGAACGAGAGAGAGCCTACATGAGAGAGATTGTATGTGTTTACGTGAGAGAAAGAGAGACTGAGAGAGATTATTAGAGAAAGATTGTGTGCGCACGAGAGAGACATTATTCGTGAGAGAGAAAGAGACTTCTAAAGCAGCTCCAGGCGATCAGTCACACTGGGATATACATAAGTGTACACAGTCAGTGCAGTCAGACATTGGATATAGTGCTTTACAGGATATACTATAAAGTGAACTGACTGTATATTTTGTGGGCGAAACGCGGCAGCCAATTGTGCACAGCAGCGTCTCACAAACAGTCGTGAATTGAATAACCAAATCATTACTTTTATTATTACTTTTTGAAGGGATCATATGCGCAGTCAGTGTGATCAGTTACTCTCAGAGTGTCTGACATACATACAGTCAGTGTGATCAGACACCCAGATATGTGGACAGGTTGGTGTCTATAATATAATATATAATATAATATTATTATTATTACCCTTCCAAACCTCCGCTCCCTTCACACAGCGAGCCCCAGCATCTGCAGGTGAGCTCTCAGATATTCTGCCCTCGTTCTCGGGAATTCCATCACGGCATCTTTTCGACTCGCTGCCTCCTTGCATTTGATATAGCGCCATATCACGTTGTTGGGACGTCTCAAAAGCACTTCAAGAAACAGATTGTAAAGTGGATTGACGGTGCATTTTGTGGCGAAACGTGGCAGCCAATTGCACACAGCAGTGTCCCACAAACAGTCGTGGATTGAGTGACCAAATAATTTTTTTTTGGAGGCATTATTACCCCCGGAAAGCGATCTGCCAATCGACTAACAACCGGGTTCTTTCTTACAGCAAGGTAACAAGAGGCGTGTGGAGTAAGGAAACTTGCCTAAGGTTTTACCCCACCGGGAATCAAACCCGGGTCCTCTCGCTTGCGAGGCGAGTGCTCTAACCACTGAGCTACAGAACTCCATCCCGTACACAGTCAGGGCAATTAGAGACACTCAGATATATTGGCTCAGAGTGGAGAGCTGACTCAGAAACACTAGACACAATTTTGCGATATTTCTTAATGGGATTTCTTAATTAAAAATTATCTTGGAGGGTGGTTGTGGGAATGCTTTCGAGTGGCGGGAGGTTTATCATACACGTGTCTCAGCCATGAAGTGACCTCGATCCGAAAGTAAATTAGAGCCATGTTCCCACAAGACAGCGTCACACAATCAGTATTTATTCATTATTGCAATCGCCACAATAAATAGTAATAATAATTATCTTTGCATTTGATTTAGTGCCTTCGAGATGGAAGGACGTCTCAAAGCTCTTCCCGGGATTTTATCCTACATTGTTGTGACTGTGTGCTTTGTAGGTGACGGGAAAAAATATTTTAAATATCCCATCGAGAAAGTCAACAACAACCACTTGCATTTATATATCGATATTCACAACAACAACAACAACAAATTACATTTGTATGAAGCCTGTCACGTCGGGAGGACATCCAAAGGCACTGAAGAAAATTTCACACCAGTCACCCTTGAATTGGTCATTCAGCTGTTTGTGAGGACATTACTGCACACATCGCCCACAAAACACACAGTCACTGCACTTTACAATGTATCCTGCGACGCGCTTTGAGACGTCCTCCCCACGTGAAAGGCGTGGTACCAAATGTAAGGGTTATTATTATTTTTCACATAGTGTAACATCTCGGAGAGCTTATTGTCTTGGGCGGGGTGGGAGGAACATGAAACAGACACATGGCCAAAAACAAACACTGGCATAATCTGTGCGGTTCCATTGATGATAGTATTAATCCCACTGAAAGCCAACACTTCAATCCCTTATTCCCATTGCCTGCCTCTCACAAACTGGGTCTGCCTGAGTTGAAGTCTTACAACAACAAGATTTCATTTATAGAGCGCCTTTCACGTCGGGAGGACGTCCCAAGGCGCTGGACAGTTGGGTCGGGACCCGAACAGGGGGGAAATGGTCAGGGTGAGGGGAGGGAAGGGAGGGAGAGAGGAGGGGGTAGAGAGTCGAGAGGGGAGCTGAAGGCACAGTTGAAGAGGCTTAGCCTATTGGCTGGAAGCAGAGGTTTATCTGAACACTGTGAGACAGATGTTCGCCTTGGGTTCTATCCAACTTTTCCTTACCTTTGAAGCCCTGTAGCTGGAAGGGGAGGGAGGAGGGGAGGGAAAAGGGCTGTTACAAAGGGTCCTTCATCTTTGTTGAAGCCATGTCCTTGTGTCACGCTTCCACTCCATGGAGTTTACGGACTCGCATGCAAAACATTCCATCAAACAGAATGGATTCCTACTCAATTACACTTTGAAATGTCCTTTCGTTCGATGAGTGGAAATTGCAACTTTTCTTAGCAGTGTGGACTGCGGAGACCTATAATGTAGTTGTTAATGCACTTGCCTCATAAGCAAGAGACCCGGGTTTGATTCCTGGGCAGGGCCAAAACCTTAGACAGGTTTCCTTACTCCACACGCCTCTACTTACTTAGCAGTAAGTAGGAACCCGGTTGTTAGTTGATTGGCGGATCGCTTTCCAGAGGTCATAATCCTTGCATTTGATATAGCGCCTTATCACAACATTGAGAGTCTCAAAACGATTCACGGAATATACTGTGGAATGACTTGACTGTGTATTTGGTGGGTGAAACACGGCAGCCAATTGGCAGTGTCCCACAAACAGTCATAGATTGATGACCTTTTTTTTTGAGGAATTATTACCCCACAGAAAGTGATCCGTCAATCGACTAACAACCCGGTTCCTACTTACTGTTAGGCAAACAGAGGCGTGTGGAGTAAGGAAACTTGCCTAAGGCTTTGTCCTGCCCGAGAATCGAACCCGGGTCCTCTCGCTTGCGAGGCGAGTGCTCTAACCACTACGCTGTGGGACCCTGTAATCCCAGGAGCCTCTTCTTCTCCCCTTGTCCATTGAGCTCCAATCCTATTGCTGTGCATCATCCGATCACAAATCAATGAACCAGGTCTCATGTCATTTCATTTTAGATGCGTTTGACCCGAAAGGTGTCTGTGTGGCCGGTGGGGCTGGTTGGAGGCCGTCGCTATGAGCGTCCCCTGGTGGAGGATGGACATGTGGTAGGCTGGTACACAGGCTGGAGACCAGACAGACCCTTTGCCATTGACATGGCAGGTAAGACCGCTCGTACCTTTGTATATCCACAAGAAACAGCAGGTTGTCTGCAAGGTTGTGGGCTCAAGCCTAACGTCAAAGCTTTGAGGCTGACACTCTGTAGAGCTGGAGGAGGCACTGCATTGTGAGCAGTGCTGTCCTGCAATGACCTACACCCTATTTAAAGCACAGTAAAAGTCCTATCTTTAGAAATTGTTCAATCGCCTAAGTTGTACATTCCCCTATGTGGAAAAGCAATCTGCCAACCGATTAACAACCGGGTTCCTACTTACTGCTGGGCAAACAGAGGCCCTACTCCAGAACCAAACCCGGGTCCTCTCGCCTGCAAGGCGAGTGCTCTAATCAATATGTTACAAGACTCCACAAATTCGAAAATAGGAACACTGGGGTATATTTTGCAGTATTTCTTAGTGGTCTCTCGTAATAAAGCAATGTAAGTGAGGAGTCCTTCTAGCTCTGGGTGTTGGAACAAGATAATGTTTGCAGGGCTATGGGGTGAGAGTCGGGGAGTGGGATTGATTTGGAAGCTCTTTTCAAAGATGGGCCGAATGGCCTCTTTCTCTGTTGCATAATTCTATGATTCTGAGGCAGGAGGAGATTGCAGACTTGCTCTGTTGTACAGAGTGTCCGCAAAAGTCCCTTTACACCCATGTTTTTTCCTACAGTGCAGTGCCCAACAACTGCAATACGTGGAAGATTGCTGACAATTGTGTTTAGAAGTACTTCATTGTATTCAGTACAAGTATTTAACTGTATTTAGACGTCCAGAGGATGGGTGTGAGTGAGCGCCATCATTTTAATGGCAAGTAATGATCCGTCAAATTGTTCGGGGCGATATCTTTCATAACACGATGGAGTCAGGAGGAGTAATGTATCTCTGACACCTTGTTTCAGCTCCTCTATAGTCTCATATCACTGTTTGTAACGGGGTAACAGGACTTTGTGGACACCATGGACAGTCGATCAGGCTGAGTCTCTTATTCTGAGCTGACTCTCTCCCTGTAACCTTGACATTTGTGCAGCAGAGTCAATGCAGTTAGTAAAAAAACAGTGAAACGGAGCTTAATCACAGACCCCGGTAAAAGCAAAGAAACTCAACCTCGCAAAGTACTGCAAAGTATGCCAGGTCCAGGCTGATTACTTGACCTGCTTTGAATAGATCAACATTGATGAAGTGTTTGACTGCATAATCTGTATTTGACGTACACTGTGCAAATCTCACTATTTTAGTTAAACACTCGAACCACATCACCTGCAGACCCGAGAGGCGTAACAATGAAAGTGCTGGGAAATGAGAGAAACTTGTAATTGCTTTGAATAATAATAATAATAACAATATTAAGCTTCAAATCCATTCAAGTTGCAGTTAGGTTTTTTGACTATTAATTCTATTAATTCTAGTGTTCTGTAGCTTAGTGGTTAGTAATTCCTTCATACGTGAGAGGACCCAGGTTCAATTTATGGGCGGGGTGAAACCTCAGCCAAGTTTCCTTACTGTTTACCTTGAGGTCAGTAGGAAACCAGTTGCTAGTCAATTGGCGGATCGCTTTTCAGGGTTGATAATCCCTCCCCAAAAAATGGTCACTCAATTCACGACTGTTTGTGGGACATTGCTGTGTGCAATTGGCTGCCACGTTTCGCCCACAAAACATACAGTTTATATAATATAATCTGTGAAGCTCTTTGGGACGTCTCGACAACGTGATAAGCCGCGATATCAAACACAAGGATTATTATTATTAGAGATTTTTGTGGATGAGTTTGTTTCGAGGTTACGTAATTCCAAGAATTATGATTTATTTTTACTCTTACCTCTAAGTCAGAAGGTTGTGGGTTGCCAGTCTAATCTGACGCTCCAATGCAGTGTTGGGGGGGTGTTGCATTGTTAGATCTGCCGTCCTTCAATGAGACATTAAACCGAGGTCCCATCTGACAGTTCAGGTGGATGTTAAGGATCCTGCGGCGCTATTTAAAAAGATCCGGGAGTTTCTCTCTCCCAGTGTCCTGGCCAACAATCTCCCCAAATAGAATTGGTCCCTCACCCCCTGGCTGCTTGTGGGACATCACTTCAGTCTTGAAAATTTCAATCGATTCACAGCCTTTAGGAGGAGAGAGTTCCAGATTTTCACAACCCTTTGTGTGAAATGGTTTTCGTTTTCTCAAAGTGCTTCACAGGGTATTATTGTAAAGTGTGGTGACTGTGTACTTATAGGTCGGAATCGTCAGACGCTAGCAAATGCAGAAGTTGTCCCAGACTCTACTGTATTTTGTACCAGTTGCCAGACGACTGGAATTATGTTGCATTTCAGGGCATTTAAATCAGTACGTAGAAGTCAGTGGCGTTGTATGTAAGAAAAAATGTTCTGTTGATGCCAAGAATTATCTGCAGGGAGATGCTTTTAAATACGGTCGTTTAATTGTCAGCGAGGCTCAATTAGGAGCATGCTCGCCTCTTGAGTCAGAAGGTTGTGTGTTCAAGCCCTACTTTGAGCTCAGTCTCAGCTGACACCCCATTGCAACGTTGGGGGAGCGATGCATTGACTTCGGAGGTCCTTCGGGTGAGATGTTAAACCGAGGTCCCGTCTACCTGTTCAGGTGGACGTTAAAGATCCCATGGCACGATTCAAAGAGAGACGAGAGTTTCGCCAAGTGTCCTGACCAACAATCTCTTCAAGGCTGTTTGTGGACATTGCTGTGCGCAAATTGACTGCCGTAAAATCCCGTGAAGCGCTTTGAGATATCTTAATAAGTTAATAAGACGCTATATCAAATGCAAAGATTATTTTTATTATTGTCGCATTGATAAAAGCTTGTTTCACGCCAGGAGGTTATCTCAAAGTACTTTACAGGAATGACTTGCGTATTTTGTAGGTGAACACAACAGACAATGATAATAACTCTTCCTTGCATTTGATGTAGCGCCTTATCATTCCATTAAGATATCCCAAAGCTCTTCACAGAATGTACTGTAAAATGGATGGACTGGGTATTTTTGTGGATGAAACGCGGCAGCCAATTGCACACAGTAATGTCCTACAAACAGTCGTGGATTGCGTTACCAAATTATTTATTTATTTGTATTTTCAAGGGATTTTTTGTGTATACAAACAGCTAATGATGGTTAGGCATTGTAGGGGATCAAGTAACAAATAGACTTAGCTCACTGTGCTGATAAATTGTGATAGTTTTGGTGCAATGGCTGGAAGGTGGGAAAGGGTTCTGAGCAACCCTCTCAAAGGAGGTTCATGAGCTCAGGACAGACGGGGATTAGGAAACCGCTGAAATGATGGGTGTTTGTGACCGATAAGAGGGAGTCTGTATGCCAGAGGCAATCAGCTGGGATGCAGTTGGACACACAGACGTCAATGGGCTGGTTTCAGATGCTCAGCAGAAGCTGGAGCAGTGAAGCTCGTGGTGTCAGGGACTTGGGTTCAGTGATGGCCAAAAACAGCTCAGGCCACACATCATCTCTGCTGCACATTCGGCATCCGATCACCACAATCCTCACCGTTTAACCCTCAAAATACACAGTCAATTCATTTTACAGTATATGCTGTGAAGCGCTTTGAGACGTCTCAACCACGTGATAAGGGGCTGTATCAAATGCAAGGATTATTATCATTATTACTCTACACTATGTGACAATCTACAGGAGAATGAGTCAGGGATTGGAGGAAATAATACCTGCTATTTAAGGACGAAAGTATGAGAAGAATTGCAGATATAATCTGCGAAAAGCACTGAAATCCCAGTCAGAGGAATAGATATTCCAAGGCACTGATTTAACAATGAGGGAGTAGATTCACACACCTATTAGATGGAAGGATAGTAACAGTGGCTGGAGCGACAATTTATAGAGGTTTAGTGGTAATTCAACATCGTCAAGTCTCAGCCTGGATCAGTTGGTCATGCTCTCGACTCTGAGCCAGGAGGTTGTGAATTCAATAACAATAATCCTTGCATTTGACATAGTGTCTATCACGTCTTCGAGAAGTCTCAAAGCGTTTCACAGAATATCCTGTAAAGTGAATTGACTGTATATTTTGTGGGCGAAACGCGGCAGCCAATTGCGCACAGCAGTGTCCCATAAACAGTCGTGGATTGAGTAACCACATTTTTTTTTAAGGGCTTATTACCCCCGGAAAAGCGATCTGCCAATCGACTAGCAACTGGGTTCCTACTTATAGCTATGAAAACGGAGGTGTGTGGAGTAAGGAAACTTGTCTGATGTTTCGCCCTGCCCGTAAATCCAACCCAGCCACCACGTCAGGAGTTTGACCTCACATAGTCTAAGCTGATACTCCAATGTAGCCCTGGGGCATGTGCTGCATTGTCAGAGGGCCGTCCTTTGGTTGAGATGTTAAACCAAAGTCCCGTCTGCCTGGACGTTAAAGAATCCGCGCCGCTATTCGGAAAGCGAAGGGAGTTTTTCTCCCAGTGTCGTGGCCAACAATCCCCCAAATAAAATGAATCGCTCAATGGCTGTTTGTGGGACATTTCTGTGGGCAAAATGTCTACCTACAAAATACATAGTAACTGCACTTTACAGTAAATCCCATGAAGCTTTACAGTAATACCTTTGAGACGTCTTCCCAACATGAAAGGCACTAAATATATGTAAATTTGTATTGTATTGTGTTGTAAATTGGTCTTCAATGTCACAGCTTTTTGTGGGAACTTTCTGTGTGCAGTCCAGTCCAGTCACTGAACATGATAACAATAACGTCCAACTCAATAGGTGGATGAGGCCTCGGTTTAACATCTCATCTGAAGGACGGCACCTCTGACAATACAGCTGTTCCCAGCACTGCACTGGAGTGTCAGCCTAGACTGTGAGCTCAAAGTCTCTGTCACACCTTAACATTCCTGGAACTTATCAGATTTTCCAAGCGTGGCCAAGATAAAATAGCCAATGCTGGCTTGAAGGATTGAGATGGAGATGTCAGCTTCACCAAAACTGGGGCATTTCATTCAGGACCTCATAGATATAGAAATTAATTTCAGCAATTCTAACCAATGCAGTCCACCAGTGATTAACAGCTGGAACAGGGTTACCAGGATGGGTGGTTCAAGCCAGGATGTTGAGCTTACTGAAGAAACAGTTCAATCCTGCAAACGGAAAGATGATAAGGTGGGTTTTCTAGATGCGTGATCTAATACAACAACAACAACAACAAAATGACATTTTTATAGCGCCTTTCACATCAGGAGGACATCCCAAGGCGCTGGACAATCCGTGTTTCGGACCCAAGCTGGGGGTCGGGATCGGGGAGGGTGGAGGAAGGATGGTGATCAAAAGCACCTTCCTTAATAATAATAACAATAATAATCCTTATCATGTTATCAAAACGCTTCAATGCGCTTCACAGAATATAAAGTAAAGACTGTATATTTGGGGGCAAAATACAGCAGCCAATTGCACACAGCAATGTCCCACAAACAGTCGTGGCTGGATTGACTGACCACATTATTTAAAAAACTTTTTTTAGGGGTTATCACCCCCAGAGAATGATCCGCCATTTGACCAGGTTCCTACTTACTGCTGGATAATCAGAGGCGTGTGAAGTAAGGAAACTCGCCTACGTTTTCGCCATGGCCTGGAATCGAACCCGGGTCCTCTCGCTTGTGAGGCGAGCTCTAACCACTAAACGATGAGTTCAATTGGTGCGAAGGGGTTTCTTGATCTGAGCCACTCTTATGTCTTGTAGATGCAGTGGAGGCTCATGACTAAGTGCCTCACTTTGTGTTGAACAGGGTTTGCTGTGAACCTGCAGGTTATTCTATCGAATCCCAAAGCTGTCTTCAAGCGGGGAGGATCCCAGCCAGGAATGCAGGAGTCGGATTTTCTCAAACAGATCACAACTGTCCAGGAACTCGAGCCTAAAGCTGCCAACTGCACCAAGGTACGTCCACAACATCAAACCAGGGAAGTCTCTCTCTGCTTGAGCCACCACAAGCCGTGGGCCACTGGTTTCAGGCTTGGACAGGGTGGAAACTAATCATAATAATAATAACAACAATAATAATAACAGCAACAAAATGCATTTATAGAGCGCCCTTCATCCCGGACGGTGTCTTGGAGCGTTTGGATAAACGTAGAATAATAATAATCCTTGCATTTGATATAGCGCCTTATCATGTCTTCGAGACGTCTCAAGGCGCTTCACAGAATATACTATGAAGTGAATTACTGTATATTTTGTGGATAAAACGCAGCAGCCAATTGCACACAGCAGCGTCCCCACAATCAATTGTCCTGTAGTATTTAATCAGATTATTTAAGAGAATTATCTAAAGGGTGTTTGTGTGTTTGTGTGTAGACAGGGAGAGAGAGCAAGAGAATAGGACGACAGAGCAGGCACGGGTACGGAGGCAGACAGGCTTCTAGCTGTGCTGAAACATTCTCTGAATCCCCCTGTTTGATGTTGGAAGTCTAGAAATTTTCATCACAGAAGGAGCCCATTCGATCCATTGTGTCTGTGCCACTACTGCCTCAGTTTCGCCTTTAATTCGCCTTTCTTAAAAAATTGATCTAACTTTTCAGCTCTTTCCCCACATAATAATAATAATCCTTGCATTTGATAATAATCCTTATCACGTCATTGAGACGTCTCAAAGTGCCTCACAGAATAAATTGTAAATTGGATTGACACTGTATGTTTTAGGCGAAACATGGCAGCCAATTGCGCACAGCAGTATCCCACAAACAATTATGGATTGAGTGACCACATTTTTTTTTTGAGGGTTTATTAGCCTTGGAAAGTGATCCGCCAATCGACTAACAATTGGGTTCCTATTACTGCTAGGTAAACAGAGGCGTGTGGAGTAAGGAAACTTGCCTAAGGTTTCGCCCTGCCTGGGAATCGAACCCGGGTCTTCTCGCTTGTGAGGCGAGCTCTCTAAGCACTACGCTACAGGACGCATCCCTAAATAATTTTACGTCCCAGCTGTTTATTCAGCTCACTCTTAAAATCAAGTCTGTGGTGTGAGTCAGTCTGCTATTGAATAGCTGTCCTTAATGTTTTGAAACCTTTCCAAGAATGTTTACTGGTCATTGAGAAACCCAATTTATGTTATTAAAGAGAGATCGAACCCTTCTGACCTTTTGTGGGCAGACGATGGAGAACTGTAATACAACTGAAATATCAGACAGTCGTAGAATATTGATCCATCTCACACATCTATCTACCCACCCAGCTCTCCAACAGGGTCCTTTGACACATCTATCTCATCATCTAGAAACCTTCAATCTGAGTCTAGGCCCACTCTCCAGCGCAGTGTTGGGGATGTGGGGTGTTGTGGGGGGTGTAGGTGGTCACTGCATTGTCTTTCAGATGGTAAACTCAGGTCCCATCTGCCTGTCCAGTTGGACGTTATACAAATCTCATGACACTATTCAAAAAGAGAAGGGAGTTCCTCCCAGCGTCCTGGCCAACAATCCCCCAAATAAAATTTGTCATTGAATTCACGGCTGTTTGTAATAGTAATCCTTGCATTTGATACAGCGCCTTATCAGGTTGTTGAGACGTCTCAAACTGCTTCACAGAATATATCGTTAAGTGGATTTTGTATTTTGTGGGCGAAACATGACAGCCGATTGCGCACAGCAGTGTCCCACAAACAATTGTCCTGTGGTATTCAGTCAAATGATTGAAAAAGAGAATTATTTAAAGGGTGTGTGTGTGTGAGTAGGCGAGGAGAGAGAGCAGAGGAACAGGACTACAGACAGCTCGATTAGTGAGCAGGCACAGGTACGGAGGCAGACTGACTTCTAGCTGTGCTGAAATATTCATTGATTCCTTCTGCTTGATGTTGGAAACGTAGAAATTTTCAGCACCAGGCCATTCGATCCATCGTATCTGTGCTACTACTGCCTCAATTTCCTCTTGAACTCGCCTTTTTAAAGAATTGATCCAACTTTCCAGCTTTTTCCCCACATAATAATAATCCTTGCATTTGATGTAGCGCCTTATCAGGTTGCCATTGAGACGTCTCAAAGCGCTTCACAGAATATATTGTAAAGTGGATTGACCTTGTATTTTGCTTGGTAAATAGAAGCGTGTGGTGTAAAGAAACTTGCCTGAAGTTTTGCCTGCCTAGGAGTCGAACCGAGGTCCTTTCGCTTGTGAGGCGAGTGCATTAACCAATACACTACAGGACATTTCCCATAATAGTTTTACAGCCCAGCTATTTATTCAGCTCACTCTTAAAACAAGGGCTCTGGTGTGAGTCAGTCTGCTATGGAATTGCTGTCCTTAATGTTTTGATCCTTTCCAAGTATCTTTACCAGTCTTTGAGAAACCCAATTTATGGTATTAAAAAGAAATCTAACTCCTCTAACCTTTTGTGGACAGGCAATAGAGAATTGTAATACAACTGAAATATCACACAGCAGTAGAACATTGATCCGTCTCAAACATCTACCCACCCAGCTCTCCCAACAGTTTCCTTTGAAACATCTGCCTCATCATCTAGTAACCTTCAATCTGAGTCTAGGCCAACTCTCCAGTGCAGTTTTGGGGGGTGAGGGGCACTACATTGTCTTTCAGATGCGATGTTAAACTCAGGTCGCACCTGCCTGTTCATTTGGCCAACAATCCCCCCAGATAAAATCGGTCATTAAGTTCATGGCTGTTTGTAATAATAATCCTTGCATTTAATGCAACGCCTTATCACGTTGTTGACTGTGTGTTTTGTGGCTGAAACACAGCAGCCAATTGCGCACAACAGGTATCCTCTCGCTTGTGAGGCGCGTGGCTTAACCACTACGTTAACGGAAAGACTTGGATCGCATTTAGCATCTCATCAGGGGATCCGGAGAAGGCCATTTGCAGTCACCAGCCCCCACCCAAAAAAAATCCTTCCCTGTTTTCTCTCTTACTCACCTATCCCTCGGTCGATTTCTTTACAAATAGCTGTGATTCCCTCTTGGATTTGCTGACACAGACGGCCTCCATCAGCTCAATAGGTTGTTCATTCCGTACTCGCAGCTCCGTGTATTGTAATCCTGTGTGCACTGGCCATTCGTTTGATCTTCGACTCCCGAGTTCCCTTGTAGATTATCAGACCGTATTGATGATGATATTCCCATCTGGACTGTCGAGTGGAAGCAGTCAATTTCATTATAATAATGGGGAGTCCTTAGCATAGTGGTTAGAGCACTCGCCTCGCAAGTGAGAGGACTCGAGTTCGATTCCCGGTGGTGCAAAACCCTAGGCAAGTTTCCTTACTCCACACGCCTGTTTATTTAGCAGTAAGTAGGAACCCGGTTGTTAGTTGATTGGCAGATCACTTTACGGGGTTAATAATCCCTTCAAAACCTTCCAAAAAACAAAGATAAATGTGGTCTTAATCCACGATTGTTTGTAGGAGACCACTGTGTGGAATTGGCTGCCGTATTTCATGCACAAAATGCAGTCAATCTCCTTCACGATATATTCTGTGAAGCCCTTTGAGATGAAAAGTCAAAAATGTATGTCTTGAGATGGACTTCGGCACTTAACGTCGGGAGAATGTCTCAAAGCGCTTTACAGGATTTACTATGGGCAAATTATAAATGTATATAACTGGGTAACATTCAGAGGGATTTAAAAATGTCTAGCACACTGATTGGGATGTTTATAACAGAGACAGATCAGTACGTGGCAAAAAGAGTATTCAGCAAAGGAGAAAAGGATGGGAAATGGGATTAAAAGATCTGCAGTGCTCTAATTATAATGAACAGACGGAACGGGCTGAATGCTCATCTACCTTCCTGGTGGAGTCCTTTATGTAGTGTGGAGTCCTGTAGCTCAGTGGTTAGAGCACTCGCTTTGCAAGCGAGAGACCTGGGTTCAATTCCAGGCAGAGGGCGAAACCTTGGGCAAGTTTCCTTACTCCACACAGAGCCTAATAATAATCCCTCCAAAACTAAAACAATAATAAATTGGTCATTTTCAATCTACGACTGTTTGTGGGACATTGCTGTGTGCAATTGGCTGCCGCGTTCGCCCACAAATATACAGTCAATTCACTTTACAGTGTGTTCTGTGAAGCGCTTTGGGACGTCCTCCCGACGTGAAAAGCGCTATATCAAATGCAAGGATTATTATTATTATTATTATTATAGTGTATTGGTTAGAGCACTTACCTCACGTGAGAATACTGGGTTCGATTCCCGGACAGGGCGAAACCTTAGGCAAGTTTCCTTACTCCACATGCCTGTTTACCTAGCAATAAGTAGGAACCTGGTTGTTATTTGATTGGTACCCCACTTTCCGGGGGTAAAAATTTGATTGCTCAATCCACGACTTTTTCTGGGACTTTGCTGTGCGCAATTGGCTACCGTGTTTCGTCAAAAAATATACACTTTACACTACTCTGTGAAGCAATTTAAGCCGCCTCGACGACGTGATAAGGCTCTGTATCAAATGCAAGGATTATTATTATCATGATTATAGTTAAGAGTTTCATTCAATGAAGAATTATTTCAAACCTTTTTATTTCAGGTGCTTGTGTGGCACACACGGACTGAAAAAGCGAACCTAGCTTTCGAACCAAAACACTCCCAGGATGTCATTGACATCGAAGTGTAGAGGGAACAGCAATCACCTTCTCGAAAAATCCCTGAAATATGTGACCAGGGAGGGGGCTGGATGGCTTACCCAGCCTCACCTGTCCTGGAGCCCGTTACTGAGCGGCAATGATACAACAGGAAGAAATGCTAACTCCCCCCCCAGGACAGATCTTAAGCGACAGGATTCAGCACGTCCAACCGCAAACACACTGCAAAAACTATTCCCGTCTGCATTGTGTTTTTTTTAAAAAAAAACACTACAATTCTTTCAAATAAACTACTGCGTACAATAAAACCAAACCAAATAGAGTCGTGTAGCTTCTCTGGCGAATTCATTGTTGATCTGGTTTCAAATCCCATAGATTGCTGTCAAGGAATATGCTATTTTTTCCAGGGTTGAGGTGGGGGGGGGGCTGTTTCTTCAGATTTGAAGAGATTTAAAATAGAATAAAGACCGACATCTATATAGAGCCTGTCACGTCGGGAGGGTGTCCCAAGGCGCTTAACCGTACTGGCTGGGCACCCGAGCTGGGGGTTGGGAGCCGAGGAGGGTGGGAAGGGGAAACATGATCGAAAGCGCAGTCAAAGAAGTAGGTCTTGATACGGACCTTGAAAGCCAGGAGAGAGGGAGCGAGTCAGATGGACTCCGGGATGAGGTTCCAGAGAGTGGGGGAGATAGGCTGCAGGAGAGATTATGCCTCTCAAGTGGAGACGAAACACCAGTGGAGACTTGACGGGCAGATTGTAACATTTTTGCATTCGCTAAGTTTGATGAAAAAAAATCAGGTTAAGAGTTGTGCAACTGAACATGCCGGTGCGGTCACAAGACACAGCCTATCCCAACAAACAAAACGTTGAATAGAAAAAAAAAAGCAAGAAACATGTGTTTTTTCAATCCGTTTAATACAGGGAAATAACATACTTGCTATACTAGGTACCATAAAATGTAAACACAATCGCAGTAATACACCTGGATGTAGCTCTAGGGAAATACAATATTTTCAGAAGTGCAATGAGGTCACCCTGTTTTACGTTTGATCCGCTAATGGATAACTCCTCATTAAGTGTCTGTTAAAAACTAGCACTCGGTGTTTAACAAAGCTCTTACGCTCAACAGGCAATTTATTTTTGTTAAAAAATAGTCGATTCACATCTATTGCAGCAAAGCGTTTCAATGATATCAATGCTACTTTACCAGAGCTGCAGACGTAAGTGTTACCAGTTCCTCCAGGTTCGACCACTATACAATGTGAATCATTTACTTAAGTTCTAACATGCTCGCTTATAAAAGAAGTTGGGCGCATTTTTTTCTGCCGTTGCCATCTTACGTGATGTCGCATTTTACGGTGCTTTTTTCTGCAATTGTCATTTTATGGGTAGTTATGTTTTTTCCTGCATTGGATTATTGATCCGTCGGTTTCAAAGCTTATGTGGCCTGGAGCCAGGCACAGTTCTCATTTAGGTTATTAGAGTCCTGCAAAATAAAAGGAATCTCGAGGTAATGATCAAATGCAGCTGCTTACACCCACCATCACCACAGGAAACCAGCCTCCATCTCAATACTTCCCTCATCAATTTACAGCTCGGTTAAAATCAAATATTTACATTGTGCATCAGACACCTTGCAATTCTGTGATGATGTGTTCAATGACAGAGGTGTGACAGCAATTCACAATTAGCTGGTAAACTAATGTTACACATCGTTGAATATATTTAACTGCTTATGGCTGGTGCTATGTTCCCTGGTCACCAATGACTTGTATTGGTCTTGTATTATTACAAGCCTTTTAAATGCATTTGAGACTCTCTAGTGGTTGTTAAATGCTAGTTCAGAACAGACATTTCGGAGTTTCTGTCGCTCATTTAGCTGTAAACCCCAGAGACAGGTCAGCATATCGTTAAGATTTAATTGAACATCCAGATATGGTGGGAAGAGTGGGGGAGAGAAGGTCCAGATGTTTGTGTTGGGGTAGAAGGTCCAGGTGTTTGTGTGTGTGGGGAAGATCCGGATGTTGGGGGAATCCAGATGTGTGGTTGGAAAGTCCAGATGTGTGTGTGGGGGGGGGTGAGAAGGTTCAGATGTTCGGGGTGAGGGGAGAGAGAGTGGTCAAGATGAGGTGGTGGGAAGGAGGAAACTTTTTACACAAATGTGCTACTGGGTTTAACCTGTTAATGTTTGGGGAATCTCACGAATAAATCAGATTGCAAACCTGCGAGCTGCAGTAACCTTCTGTTCACATATAACCTGAGTTCTGATATGTTCATCCCGGGGTGGGGTGGGGGAGGGGAAGGAAAAACATTCAACCCCGACCCACGTCCAAACCGTTCTGTTTTGACTCTACCATCCAGATTTATTTTTCTATTTCCATTTTCCTTTAACTGTGCTTTTTTTTAAAAAAGATGTATTCATGTGTTCCTCCACATAATAATGCACATCACACACAAAAAAAAGAGATCTGAACAAAATAAAAATGAGTGGTGTTTCAGGAAGAGCTCATTAATAGATACACTTACACCTAGTTACCTTAATATACATCGGCTGATAAAACCTCTGCAATAGGAAGTTCGGGTACTTATTACAGAGTATTGGTGGATCGGGTGGCTGGGTGAGGTGTTGGGAGGAGCAGAGAAGGGTTTGGGTCACTAACATGATAACTCACTATCCTTTCCCGAACTGTACAAGTACTAGCTACAATCAGGTAACAATAATATCACAATGCATTGTAAACTGCTCAAATAGTCGGTGACGGATATAGCTTAGAAAAAGAAAAGGGCTGGGGATGTGAGAGAGAAAGAGCGCGAGACAGAGAGAGAGCGCGCACGAGAGAGAGAGCGCGTGAAAGAGAGAGAGCGCACGTGAAAGAAAGAGAGAGGAGACAGAGCAAAAGAGCGACGAGATGATGAAACTGCTATTCCATAGTTTAACCAGGGAATCACTTCATTAGAGGATGAATCAATAAAGACTGCTGGGAATGTCTAGATCAACTAGGTAATATTAGCAGTCAGAAGACCGTAGCATTTTTGTACAAGGATAAAATTAAAGAGTCTATTTGTAACACGAGGGATGGCGAACGCTCCCTCTCGGGCTGGGAGGGCTTCCGCTTGTATCTCTATCTTATTTCCACAGCTGAGTGCTGAGAGTCTGGCCTGTAGGGTTGCTGGCCCATGCTCCCATCGTGCCCGCGGGCTGCCCAAAGCCCATCACGCCAGTAGGGCAGTTCAGATTCATCCCTGCCATTTGCTGGTTCACCTGCTGAAAACAAAACACAATCACATCACCATCACAGTCAAAGCCGAGTCCGTAAAATAATAATAATAATAATTCTTCTTGCATTTGCATGTGATTTGCCTTATTGCATCTCAAGCGCTTCATAGAATATACTGTAAAGTGGATTGACTGTGTATTTTGTGGGCCAAACATGGCAGCCGATTGCACACAGCAGTGTCCCACAAACAGTCGTGGATGGAGTGGCCACATTTTTTTTTAGGGGAGGATTATTACTCATGGAAAGCAATCCGCCAATCGACTAACAACGGGTTCCTACAGAGACGTGTGGAGTAAGGAAACTTGACTAAGGTTTCTTTCCGCTTGGGAATCGAACCCGGGTCCTCCTTAGCAAGTGTGCTAACCATTAGACTAAAGCACTGGTTTAAAAGAGAATTGGGTAGACGCTTGAAGAAGAGGAATATTAAAGGATATGAGGAGAGCGAGCAAGCGAGGAAACAGGACAGTGAGATTAGATTAGGTATCACATGTGGAGAAAAAAAACACTAGCACAGAGTTGATTGTTTCTGTGTTGAATATTCTATGACTATGTTACAATCGTACAGGACAATTTCGATCTCAACAGGATGTGGCGCGAGATTTCTATAGTTGGCTTAAAGGGATGAGGAATATGCAAATACCTGAAATGAGAATAATAACAATAATAAAAATCCTTGCATTTGATATAGCGCCTTATCATGCTGTTGAAACGTCTCAACGCGCTTCACAGCCAATATACTGTAAAGTGGATTGACTGTATATTTTGTGGGTGAAATGTGGCAGCCAATTGCGCACAGCAGTGTCCCACAAACAGTCTCGGATTGAGTGACCGAATTATTATTATTTTTGAGGGTGTGTGGAGTAAGGAAACTTGCCTAAAGTTTTGCCCCAACTGGGAACCAAACCAGGGACCTCCCCACCCACCACCTCCCCACCCCATTCCTTGCGAGGCGAGGAATGGGGGGAGGTGGGGGAGAGGAGAAAATGACGAGGGCAAGGAGAGACTGCATAAACTGAGGAAGTTTTCAACAGTTGCAATAAGAGTCTTGGATTCCAAAAAGTCAACATGACACTGTCTACCAGAGAGGTCCAATTAGTTTGCAGTAAAGAATGCATGAAAAACTCCCCCATCCATCTATCACACTCAGGCACACAAGTGTGGTGAGTGGCTGAAGATTTATTATCAGATTCATTTCCTTAAATTGATAGCAAATAAAATAATCCATTTCATACTGATTTCATTAGAGGGGTAATATCAGGGAAATTGCTCCCAGTTGTCAAGAACTTTCACTGTGAATTTAACGCAGAAAGCAATATTCATCCAGACACTCACTGCTCAGGACCTTTTTTTTGGTCAGCCGGGTGTCTGACAGAAGCGGAAACCCATTAACATGCTTAGGAGTATCCAAACCAAACTGAGAATTACAGGCATCCCACCTACACCTGGAAATCCCAGAGGCAGATTGTTGGAATGGAATGTGCACTCTTTCTCCCTGGAGGGACACATCCCGCTTACCTAATTCCAGAGATTATTAGGATTCACCCAGTTCCACTGAAGCAACAGCAAGGCCTTAGTTTCCCAAGTAAGTGTGTAAGCGTCAGAGTGAAACCACGCAGAGATATAGCTATTTTATTGGAGGGAAAAGTACAAATCAAATGAGGCCCCAATGATTTGAAATTAGTTGACTGGATAAAAATTCCCTTAAAGGAAAATAGGACAGAAATCGAACAAATGAAGTAATTGGCTTTGTCACACATTCACTGCACAGTGTAGTGTGGAACAATACAGAAAGGTTGCACAATGGTTTTCAATCAAAAGCTTCGATGCCCCTCAGTTAGGGAGAAGCAAAGAACAGAGAGGTTTCCGTGCCTGACAGCTATCCAGTGACCGCTGCTGTAAAGATGTGTGTGTACGTGCTTAATGTTGGGGAGGAGAAAGCGTTGGAGGGCACGGTTTAATAAGATTTGGTTGTGACATTTCCTCTAGACATCTCAAGAGTCCCTTGCATTTGATATGCCTTTTCATGTCTTCTCGATGTCTCAAAGCACTTCACACAATGTACTGTAAAGTGAATTGACTGTATGTTGTGTGGGTGAAATGCGGTAGTCAATTGCGCACAGCAGTGTCCCACAAAGAGTGACCAATTTTTTTTTGAAGGGATTATTACTTCCGGAAAAGTGACCTGTCAATCGACTAACAACCAGGTTCCTACTTACTGCTAGGTAAATAGAGGTGTGTGGAGTAAGGAAACTTGCCCAACTTTTGCTGTCTTGGAAATCGAACCCAGGTCTCTCGCTTGCGAGGCGAGTGCTCTAACCACTAAGCTACAGGACTCCAGTCTCCACTGCAATATACAGTAAACTCCGATAACTCATCGGTCCAAGGGAAAAGGACTCAGTGATGAGTTATCCGTAGCAGCGAGTTAGGCACACGTATAAATACATAAGTAAATTCAGGCGGGATATTGACAGCATGAGGATTTAAGTGGCAGTGACAAGTTAAACCAGGATCTAGTTATTAGAAGTTTACTGTCAATGTAACTTTGTGTTGTATTGTGTATCTAGCGGACACAGAATGCCCAGACAGATGTGCACTCTGGGCGGCTGCCCTGTGTTTAAGGGCGCTATATAAATGCAAGCTGTTGTTGACTTGGACATAGGGAACAGCCACTTGGATGAGGCACTGGAGGGCAGCCGCCACTCTAGGCAGGACCAGTCTTCAGGGGATGACAGAAACAGTTTACAATGGATGCAAGAATAAATGCAGTGCCCAGGTTACCATCTTGCTAATCGTGTTTTGGATTTATCAATGAAATGTGCAATGAGAGTCATCTGCTTCAACAACGACAACAAATCAGGAGGACGTCCCAAGACGCTGGTCAGCCAAGGTGGGCACCCGAATTGGGGTTGGGATCAGGTGGGGTGAAGGGCAGGGAGGTGGGTGTAGGAGGGTGACCGAAGGCACGGTCAACAACAACAACAACAACAAGATTCCATTTATAAAGCGCCTTTCACGTCAGGAGGACGTCCCAAGGCGCTGCACAGTTGGGTCATGACCCGAGCAGGGGGGAAATGGTCAGGGTGAGGGGAGGGAAGGGAGGGGAAATGGTCAGGGTGAGGGGAGGGAAGGGAGGGAGCGAGGAGGGGGAAATGGTCAGGGTAAGGGGAGGGAAGGGAGGGAGCGAGGAGGGGGAAGAGAGTCGAGTGGGGAGCTGAAGGCTCGGTCAAAGAGAAAGGTTTTGAGACCGGCCTTGAAGGAGGAGAGGGAGGAAGCAAGGCGAAGGCACTGGGGGATAGAGTTCCAGAGCCAAAGAGGAGACGGGCCTTGAAGGAGGCAAGGGAGGGCGAGGCAAAGGGATGTGGGATGGAGTTCCAAAGGATGGGGACAGAGAGGCTGAAAGCCCAACCGCCGATGGTGGGGTGGGCTGGGCCTGGAGGGGGACATGGTAACATGTCACAGAGGTAGGCAAGGGCAAGGCAGTGGAGGGCCTTGAAGGCGGGGATGAGGATTTTGAACTCTACTCTCTTGCTTCATTCATTCACTTGCTCGCCAGGTTTTGCTATAATTATTTCCTAGTCAAGATGGGTCTGAACTCACTCTCCTTTGTGCTGAGCTGTGGAGGGCTCAGTAGATCACAAAGTACTGAGGAAGGAAACTGTGAAGGAAAAAGGAGAATTAAGTAATTTTACTATTTACTAAAAATTTGGTCACCTAATCCACGATTATTTGTGGGACACTGCTGTGCGCAACTGGCTCCCACGTTTCGCCCACAAAATACACAGTCAATCCTCTTTACAAGTATATTCTGTGAAGTGCCTTGAGACAGCTCAAAGACGTGATAAGGCGCGATATCAAATTCAAGGATTATTACTATTATACTGCTTTTTTTTAAACCGTGCACATTAAAAGATTTGCTTATAAATAAAAAAAAGCATTTTCAGTTCTTATGACAGTGATTAACGCCAACCCTCAGGCGACATTCTCCCCACTGCCCATTAGCGTAATGCAGCAAATGTGATTTAATGATTTGATAGCATTCAAAGCACATATTGATCACCTACTTGACTGATTGCACCTTACTAACATTGTACACTTCCCAAAACAATATAAATAACAATCCTTGCATTTGATATAACGCCTTATCATGTTTTCTAGACGTCTCAAAGCGTTTCACAGGATATACTGTAAAGTGAATGGACTGTATGTTTTGTGGGCAAAATCCGACAACCAATTATGCACAGCAGTGTCCCAAAAACAGTAATGGATTACGTGACCAAATATTTTTAAAAAAATGTTTTTTGGAGGGATTATTGCCCCAGAAAGTGATCCGCCAATCAACTAACAACTGGGTTCCTACTTATTGATAGGTAAACAGAGGCGTGTGGAGTACGGAAACTCGCCTAAGGTTTTGATCCGCCCGTAGATCAAAGCCGGATCCTCTCGTTTGTGAGGCGAGCAAGCTAACCACTACGCTACAGGACTCCGCAAGGCAGAGCCCTGGAGAGGGTGCAGTGTAGGTGCACACAGACACCACCAAACATGAGGTGCTTTAATTATGAAAAATGTAGACTGTTTTCACTGGAGGAGAGCAGGATAAGATCCGGTCTAATGGAGGTCCTTTAGAATTTGAAGATATTTTGAGACGATAAATAGAGAATAATTATATAGTTAACTAGACAACGAAAGCTCAGGATTGTCTATTAAAGTGTTAAGGGGCAGGTTCGAAAAAATATTTTTACACAGCACCTAGAACGGTTTGAAGCCAAGAGGAGATTTAAAAGGGCATTGGATAAATATTTGAAGAGCAACAATAAAACACAAGAAGGAGAAAGCCCAGATGGATATATAGCTCTAGCCTCCTTCGATTGGCTTCCTCAGGTGCTATAATTTCTCTGAAAAGGTCAAACGGTGACTTTCAGTCCCTCAATGCAACAATTACCCATTATTGGCAATCAATAACCTCCTGGTAAAGGGCTATTTCATTCATTGAGCATCACAACAACAACTACTTGCATTTATATATCGCCCTTCACGAGGGATAGTGTCCCAGTCTGACCTGACTTACGTTCCACTGTGGTTGCTGGCTCTGTTGCACACTGTACATAGTCTGTGGGTTCACTGCGCTCCCCACCATTCCTCCTGGGGCAGCCATCATGTTCTCTGGCACTCCCATCACGCCAGTTTGTGCACTGCCCATAAATCCATTTGGCATTCCAATGCCAACCATCATTCCCGGAGGCTGCCCCATCATGCCCACGGGCTGTCCCATCATACTGCCCATCATGCCAGCCGTCGCGGGCATGGCTGCTCCGATATTAGGGAAGTTGGGGTAGCTGGCAGCAGTGTGTGTGATGAACGGCATTTGAGAAGGAGCCATGAAGACAGCAGCTGTGAGGAGTGAAGGACGACATCATTAGAAACAAACCACTCACTAAAGTCAAGCAGATTAGCTCAGAAAACATACTCCCAACGGAAAACTGCTCTGATAATATATTCCTTGCATTCCTTGTAGCGCCTTATCATGCCGTTGCGGCGTCTCAAAGCGCTTCACAGAATATACTATGAAGTGGATTGACTGTGCGTTTTGTGAGCGAAACGTGGCAGCTAATTGCGCACAACAGTGTCCCACAAACAGTTGTGGATTGAGCGACCAAATGTTTTTTTAGGGTTATTACCCCCCGGAAAGCAATCCGCAATCGACTAACAACCATATTTCAACTCACTGCTTGGTGAGCAGAGGCATGTAGAATAAGGAAACTTGCCTAAGTTTCACCCCCCCTTGAAATCGAACCTGGGTCCTCTCGCTTGCGAGGCGAGCGTGCTAACCACTACGCTACAGGAATCCATCCTGTACACAGTCAGGGCAATTAGAGGCACTCAGACATACTGGTTCAGAGGTGAGTGTTAGGTTGGTACCCGAGTGCTCTAACCAATATGCTACAGTTCTCCATTTATAGGTCAAGGTGAAGAATTTGACATCAATCCATTTGAAGACAGGGAACCAGTGACTCACTCTCATCTGTTTAAAGTTTGACATTGCTGCAGACTCTCTGAAACCTGCTTTGCCATCAAACCTTCAGTGGGAGTTTTGTGGGATGGATGCGGGAGGTGATGGAGATAGTCCCGTGAGTGTTGTTCACAAGATACCGAGATCTGCAGCTTGTATTACGACAACGTCAAACCTTTTCCAAAATTCCCTGAATCTATTTAAACCACGTTACAAACAACTGGCTCGCCGAGCTATTCTCCCCTCCCCTTTAAATCTCTTGTGGAGTAGAATGTCTGATGGAGGGTAGTGCTGAGAAGAGAAGAGGGTGTAACAGGTTTGTGGCCTTAAAACACAAAAGAAAACCACAAAGATCTGGACTGAAATATCTTAAACGGAAAGGCATCTTTCGGATTGTGGCTCTTGTTCCAGACCAAACAATCATAACAATTCATTCCCATACCGAGCACAGATGGAAGTCATTGTGGCATTTGGACTACATTTTTCTAAAAGAACTGGCCTTTCATTTTCACAGCCCGTACCCTTTACTCCTATCCTTTGATATTATTTCTTTTCTAATATCTGTCCAATTCCCTTTTAAAAGTCACCATGAATGTTATTATACATGAAATAGAATCGCATCAGTAAGAATATCCAACCTGTATAAGGTCAGAATTTGTCAATGCCAGTATCTAGCTACAGTTCCGACTATTACTTGTCTCTCTCTATCTGAGCTCCAAATAACTAAAAGACAATATGCTTATAGAATGATAGAAATTTTCAGCCCGTTGAGTCTGTACCGGCTCTCAGAGCAAGCTGTTCGTTCGTTCATTCAATCCCACTGCCCTGTCTTTTTGCCATAATCCTTCAAGCCTCTATCTTTCATTTACTTCCCTACTTTCCTCTTGAAACCCACATTGGACTCTGCCTCTACGACTTTGCTTGGGACTTTACCATGTCACAACAGTGAAAACAATTCTCCTAAATGCTCTTCTTGTGACTATCTCATAATTATGTCCCCTAGTCGTTGCCAGCAGAAACAGCTAACATTCCTATAAGAGAAAATCCCAAATAAACACAAACATATCGAGCAGCACTAGAAACCTCTCCTACAGAGCCCTAGGATTGTTAATACAGGTACAGGGGAAACTTGGAGTCAGTGAGAGGTTAGGAGGAGTGGAATTCTTTACCACAAGTGGCTGTTGAGGTTGAATCCAATAGCTTCATACAAAGGAGAACTGGATTGATGCCTAACGAGTAAAAAGGATTATGGGGAGAGTGGAATTGGAAGGAGAGATTAATAAAAAGAGACAAGAAAATTGGTGGCAGAGGTGTGCCATTGGTGGCAGACAAACACTGGGCTGAATTGCCTCCTTCTGTGCTGAAAATTTCTATCAAAAACTGACATGACCTGAGGGTTACTACAGCAGCAGCGACAATTATATAAAAGTCAAAGCTAAAGGTTAAAGAGATTATTGGATTCTCAAGGTAACTTCTTTAACTTTTGGTGAAGGAAAGTCCATACATTATTTTAAAAGGGAATTCAATAGATGTTTGAAAAGGAGGAATATTAAAGGGTAGGGAGAGCAAAAGGGAGAGATTAGACTTGGTGGCTTATGTAGAGAAAAAAACTCACACAAACTTCCTGGGCCAAATTGCTTGTTTTGGACTGCAACCTTCCCTGATCCCAGTGTATTAGTGCTGCCTCACTTAAAGCCTGAAATCAAAGTCTATCTATATTTATAATTTTAATACCCTTGAGCAACACACAAGCAAAATGAGAGGTACTGTAGTTGCCTTCCTATACAGTAAAGCAGGCAATCATTTCCTCTTTTAATACCATAACAAATAGCCCCTTCTGTCTGTCGTTGATGCAAATGATTCTGGAATTTTACAACACAGAAGTCAGCCATTTGGCCCATCATACTGTTATTATTAATAATAATAATAAAAATAATAATAATAAAAATAATAATAATAATCCTTGCATGTGATATAGCGACTTATCACGTCGTTGAGACGACTCAAAGTGCTTCACATAATACTGTAAAGTGAATTAACCGTTTAATTTGTAGGTGAATCACAGCAGAGTCCTAAAAACGTTGTGGATTATCACATAAATTCTGGAATATAAAAGTAAGGTGTTTCTCCTGTTATATAGAATGTTACTGTGTTTGCCCGCAGGTTGCACAGTCACTACCCTTTGCAGTGAATTCAGTGAAGTGTTTTGAGATGTCCTCCTGATGTGAAGGAGCACTATATCAAATGCAAGGATTCTTTTTTTACTCTCTCTCAGAAAGAGCCATCCATTTGATCTCCACTACTCTGCCCTTTCCCTGCAACCTTTCATATTTTTTCTTTTTCAATCATTTGTGTGGTTCGCTTTCAAATGCTATTATGCCTGTTAAGAGTGGTTGTGAAAAGATCCCATGGACCCATTTGAAAAGAGAAGTGTTTCTCCTGGTCTCCTGGCTAAATTCCCCCAGTCCAATTGGGTCATTCACTTCATGGCTGTTTGCAGGATATTGCTGTGTGCAAACTGGCAGTCGCATTTGCCTACAAAATACATAACAACAAATTACAATAATTTCTATTAAACGTTTTGAGATGTCCTCCTGATGTCAAAGGCATGATATCAAATGCAAGGATTATTATTATTATGGATTTTTCCCCACCAACAACCTCCGTATCTGAACAGCCCTCTGTGAAAGAGGAATTCTCCTAACCGCTCCTGTGTGTGGGGCCTAGCTGGTACAAATGATTCAACGTTTCGGGTCCACGATGGATCTGTTCTGATGAAGGGTCGTGGACCTGAAACGTTGACTCACTTTCCTTTCTCCACAGATGCTGCCTGACCTGCTGAGTGTTCCCAGCGACTTCTGTTTTTGTTGTCACAAATGACTGTTGATTTGACTACAAAAAAGTCACTACAGTCAACAGCCATAACCCTATGCAGAGAAGAACGGAAACAAGTTATTTAGTTCTTACCTCTGTCCTGAAAATAATAATACTAATAATCCTTCCATTTGATACAGCACCTTATCACGTCGTTGAGACGTCCCAAAGTGCTTCACAGAATATATTGTAAAGTAAATTCAAAGAATCATAGAATGATACAGCACAAAAGGAGGCCATTCAGCCCATTGTGTCTGTGCCGGCTCTTTGAAAAGTGTTATCCAAACCAATCCCACTCCCCTGCGCTCTCCCCATAGCCCTGCAACTTGTCCTCCCCAAATAATTATCTACTTCTCTCAGAAGTTGTTATCGAATTGGCTTCCATCAATTGGAATGCATTTCAGGCAATACATTCCAGATCCAAACAGCTCTGATATCGAATATCAAATTGATTGTATATTTTATGAGTGAAACGCAGCAGCCAATTTTGGCCCACAAACAGTTGTGAATTGAGTGAGCAAATTATTATTATTTGCGATTCAAAGCTTGAAGTTATTGATTTGATATTCTCTAGTCTTTACTTTACAGTGTAAATTACGCTTATGAAATGTAAGTGTCCCCTGATCTCCACAGCGTTATAAACTCAAACATTTTATTTATTTTATGTATTAAGCTGTCGATACCAAATTATCTTTGGTTGAGGATGATTCACTTTCCAAGTTCCACAGGAGCTATAATTTGACGTCTGTACGCAGAGAGTATATATCATTGGGTCCTCAAGTTTTATGTTACACTGGAGATTCGTTTTGTTTCCAGAACAAAAATCATTTTTCTTTATGTTCAAAATTAATTTACTGTCATTTTCAAATATCTGCAATAAACTAATTACTATAATTAATGTCAGCAAAGTTTTCATTATTTGGCTGTAGGGGAGATTTAGGGAGTGCCACAGTTTAGCTTTACCACTAAGTGAACTGCCACAAACTCCACCGCATAGCTCAGGAGAAGAGTTCATGTCTAGATCAAAGGATATGATAGACAATAAGGTCTGGATTGCTCAGACATGAACCAGAGCCTATCAAAGGTAATTAAACAGAAGCTTGAAGAGAAGGAATATCGAAAGATCATCACCCCCAGGCTCCACCCTGTTGCTATATTGAGTTGCTCTCACACACACACATGCAAGCACGCACAGACACTTACGCACTGGAGGAGGTTACTTCAGTGCTGGACAGGAGACAATCAATGGATGTTGTCTGTATGGATTTTCAAAAGACATTTGATAGGTCTCCACGTAAGAATTCATTGTATAGAATTGAGGCACTTGGAACTGAATGAAGCATTGTGACAATAATAGGGATTTGATTGGGATAACAACAGAAGGCAGAAAGGATAAAAAACAGATTCTCTGATGTGTAAGTAGTGACAAGTGAGATTTCCCAGGAATCCAAAGGATCCAGTGTATTTTGTGGACAAAAGGCATGTATTTGTGGGAGCATTGCAGCAGCCATTTGCGCATAGCAGTGACAAACAGTAGTGGATTGAGTGACCAAATTTTTTTTGAGGGATAATTAAGCCCGGAAAGCGAAACCGCCAACCGACTAACAATCGGTTCCTACTTACAACTAGGTAAACAGAGTAAGGAAACTTGTCTAACGTTTAGCCCTGCCTGGGAATCGAACCCAGGTCCTCTCGCTTGCAAAGCGAGTGCTCTAACCACTGAGCTACAGGACTCCACAACCTCCTTTACAAAGCTATCAACTCGTCTTGAAAATTTCAATTGATCCAGAATCCACAGCCTTTTGGAGGAGAGAGTTCCAGATTTCCACTAGGCTTTGTGTGAAAATGGGTTCATAGAGTATCGTATTCAATGGCGGGTGCACGCACTTCGTACTCTGAACATGGCTTCACCTGGCTGGGCTTGTTGTTGCTGCATCGTTCCTGTGCCATATAGCGATAAGATGGAATCCTTGGAGAGTGGTTTCTTTGCAGAGTCTTCAGACTTCGTGGCTGCTTCGGTGAAGAGGTCAAGATCTCCTCCCGCGGCAGATAAGGCTGCAGGGGGTTTAGTGGACACCGGCTGTGGACAAAGGGGGGAAAAAAGAGTTGTGACCGATGGTATACAGAAATAAAGAGTAGCGGAGAAAAGGAAGAAAACACAACTAGCTCAACAACAACAACAAATTACATTTACATATTAACTTTCATATCGGGAGGATATCTCAAATATCCTGGACAATCCGGGGTTTGCACCCGAGCTTGAGGTTGGAATCAAGAGGGGTGGAAAGTAGTTCCAGAGGGTGGGATCAGAAAGGCTGAAGGCCTGACTGCCAATGGTGGCGCGGGCAGGGCTGGGCACATGGAGAAGACCAGTCCCCGCTGAATGGAGGGAGCGGACAGGTTGGTTTGGGTGTTAAGAGGTCGCAGAGGTAGGGAGGAGCGAGACTGTGGAGGGCTTTAAAAGCGAAGATTTTAAACTCGACGCTCTGAGGGAGCCAGTGGAGCCAGACAAGACTGGAGGCGATTGGTTCACAGAGCTTGGTAAGAGAGAGAAGACAGCTGCAGAGTTCTGGATAATTTGCAGCTTGCAGAAAGAACAGTTGGGAGACCAACTCGAGCTCAACTTGCCCCACTGAGTATTTTGGGAGGTTTCCAAACAAAATTCCAACGAGCGTCCTTCAAATCATATGTGTGTGTGTGTATTTGGGCAATTGATCTCCAAGGTGCTCTTCACACTGGGAACGTGCCTCAGAAAAACTTTAGATTTCCAATCTAAAACCAACAGGGCTCCGAGATATGAAATTGTACAGCATTGCACTATGTGCACCCCGTAAAAGGCAGAAAGACCAGTTCTTACCATGTACAACGTCAAACGGTTTCCTGCGCTTTCATTTTTAAATCACAGTTTTTTTTTACACAGCGCACAGACCAACAACTGAAACATGGATAAGAATGATGACAGTTCTATTTAGAAGTACTTTTAACAGTAATCAGACGTCCAGAGGATGAGTGTGAGTTTGAGCGCCATAATTTTCAGGGCAGATAATGATCCATCGCCATGTTCAGTGCCATATCTTCCATAACATGGATGGAGTCAGTGAGGAGGAGAAATGCAGCTTGTTTCAGCTCAGGACTTTATGGACACCCTGTACTGACTTGCTATGGTTTTTAATTACTAGTTATTTTCTGTGAAGGTTCTATTTGAAGGTGAATTCTATGTGAAGGTCGAGTCCTGTCGCTCAGTGGATAGAGCACTCGCTTTGCAAGCAAGAGACCTGAGTTCAATCCCCGGCAGGTCAGGGCGAAACCTTGGGCAGGTTTCCTTACTCCACACAGAGCCTAATAATAATCCCTCCAAAAAAACAAAACAATAATAAATTGGTCATTTTCGATCTACGACTGTTTGTGGGACATTGCTGTGCGCAATTGGCTGCCGCGTTCGCCCACAAATATGCAGTCAATTCACTTTACAGTATATTCTGTGAAGCGCTTTGGGACGTCCTCCCGACGTGAAAAGCGCTATATCAAATGCAAGTATTATTTTATACTATTATTATATTTAATTTTGTTTTAACAGTTTTCACTTAAAAACTGCACCTATATACATTCACGCACCACAAATCAATTCACGCGCAGTAGTTGTTCTGAATCAGTGCCAGGAGTCACACATCCTCTGCACACAATACCGGAACAGAGAAGGTTAAGAAGGGATCTGACTGAAGCACTCTCGAGATTCAAAAAGATCTGACGAGGATTAACGCAAAGATAACACTCGCAGGGTTTGGCAGCATAAACTAAGCATTATCACTGGAAGTATGAAGGGGGAGCTTTTCATCCAGAAGGTTATTAGAATGAGGAAAGGATGGGGAATTGGGTTTAGGATAGATAGCACCAGCATAGCCTTGCTGGGCCAAACGGTTTCCTGTGCTGTAATATCTATGGTTCTATAATCAGGCTTGTGCTCAGCAGGACCAAATACTGAAAAATGTCAACATAGTCGGACAGTTTGACAAGAGAGGATTATTTAAGAATTCGCAAATTTATCACTTGTTTCTTTCAAATCCGCAATTAGCAATTATAAACACACAATGACTGCACAACAAACACTTGATGATACTGCCAACCCGACTGCATTAGTACCCACCTAAATATCACCGGTTCCGAACACAAATGCCTGGAAATTTATGAGTGACGGCTGGAGGTACAGTGTTTCTGTTGCTCGATCTAAGTCATTTCGAATTCAAACATGCTTCTCTGTGCAGCAAAGGGGAGGTTTGAATATAGTAAAGAAATAAGATGGCAATTGGGTGCAGACCTGCTATGATGTTTGAGGGATCCAGGGCTGTTCAGATCATTCTGTTCCCTAAAATAGTTCGAACACTTAAAGAACAAGACATACATTTCTTTGGATGCTGCATGACTATTTTCCCCTTGTTGGGAATATAAACCACAAACAATTCGATTCCCAGAGGTATATTCCCACCTCATTGAATTTCCACAAGCACCAGGGTTGTAATAAATTCTGTGACTAATTTCAATACAAGCATACATCTTTAATAATCCCCATCATGTTTTCTTTTATGTTTTTTAAAAAAAATCCCCGGTACGGCGCAGATTCAGTGACGCAGATGGAAAGCCCTCCTGGATGTGTTCACCCAGTTAAAATATGTTCATCAATGATGTTCATCTGCTGTTCATCAAACTGTATATCAACCTGACTGATGTGTCTGTTTGAGTGGGTGGTGGGGGGGGAACCCATCTCAGCGGTTGTTCTGAGATGCAGGCAACATTGGAAATAAATGAACATGAGATTGAGAGTCTAACTGAGGAAAAGCAGTACTGAGATAGTAGAGGTGTCATTCTTCAGATGAAATGTTAAATTCTGATTCCCTACAACACAATACAAATTGACATTTATACAGCGCCTTCCACGTCAGGAGGACGTATCAAATAATAACAACAATAATCCTTGCATTTGATATAGCGCTTTATCTCGTCGTTGAGAAGTCTCAAATCGCTTCACAGAATATATTGTAAGGTGAATTGACTATGTATTTTGTGGGCGAAACGCGGCAGCCAATTCCGCACAAGGCACTTAATAATCCTGGCTGGGCACCCGAGGAAGCCGAAGGGGAAGGGAAAAATGATCGAAACTGCAATCAGATGTAGGTCTTTAGATGGACTTTGAAAGAGGTGAGAGCGGGGGCAAATCAGAGGAACTCTGGGATGAAGTTCCTTACTCCACACGCCTGATAATAATCCCTCAAGAAAAAAACCCAATAATGAATTGGTCACTTCAACCCACGACTGTTTGTGGGACACTGCTGTGCGCAATTGGCTGCCGCGTTTTGCCCACGAATATACAGTCAATTCACTTTACAGTCTATTCTGTGAAGCGCTTTGAGACGTCTCGAAGATGTGAAAAGAGCGATATCAAATACAAGGATTATTATTATTATTATTATTATTATTATTATTATGTATGGTGGTGGCAAGACCATGGAGGGATCTCCCTGATCCTAATCACAAAAGAGAAGGGTCTTTTCTCCGGTTTGTGTCCCAACGAACAATCCTCCAGACACACTTGCTCATTTATTTTATGCACAGGAAGTGCCATTGGGAGTAACCTGCCTGAACCAGAAATGCACCATTTTGTAGCGCACTAGAAGACATTACCCGTTTTGCAATGAGCTGCAGCACACTTGCCCAGGTACTCTAAACATGTTCAGTTGTGGTTGCTGCAGCAATAAGCGGGCCACTGTATCTCTCGGGGCACTACAGAGAAGATGAGTGAGGTAGATATACTGTGTCAGCGGGGGAGTTTTGATGAATAACTAGATCAACGAGGATACTTCAGGCTTTTAAAAAAGATGTCTTAGAGGGGACCTTAAAAAAGGGTATACAATGCTAAATTGGATTGAGAAAGGAAACCAGGAACATTATTTTCAGATAAGTCAAGCCAGAAGCCCAAGAAGTCCCATTTTCAGGACTTTAAAGGGCAATTTAAGAAGATCCTAGAAAGTATTTCTTTATACAGGGGTTAATTAACAGTTGCATAGCTGGTAAGGATACTGGACTCATTTAAGAAACAGCTGATGCTAACAAAGGAAGGTGGAAATAACTGAGAATTAATTTAAAATTGGCTAAGCTTTTACCTACAGCTGAGGAGTCCTGTAGCTCAGTGGTTAGAGCACTTGCCTTGCAAGTGAGAGATCTGGGTTCGATTCCCAGCTGGGCGAAACCTTGCATAAGTTTCCTTACACCACACGCCTGATAATAATCCCTCAAGAAAAAAACAATAATAAAATTGGTCCCTTCAATCCACGACTATTTGTGGGACACTACTGTGCGCAATTGACTGCCGCGTTCGCCCACAAATATACAGTCAATTCATTTTACAGTATATTCTGTGAAGCGCTTTGAGACGTGATAAGCCCCTTTATCAAATGCAACGATTATTATTATATACCTACAGCTATGTTCCTACAAACCAAGGACCGTCTCACCAGTTCTTTCACTCGTGGATAAGGGCATAAATTTCTATGATGTCTCACAAAAAAAGTCATAGAGTACTTTATAGACTGACAATAGATTGATTGCAGTAGCTATTGTGGAAGTAAATGTGGCTGCAACATTCAACAACAATGAGACTAGTGGACAAATCATTTGAAGTTGGGGGGAATTTGGAACGAGGAGAGAATATAAGGTAGGATAAAATGCAATCCTATGTATCCTTGAAATACTGGCAAGTCTTTAATCACAAGGCAGACTGCACCTAATTTGATGGAGCAATTGCAAAAGGATCTGGAAATAAAATAATATTGATATTTAGGATAGAACGTTATGTTGGCAATCTCCGTTCTGACTTACATGTTGGAGCCTGCGCTGTGTTTCAGAGGATTGTCCGAACACATCCAGAGGTGGTTGGTCAGTAAACCTTTTGCAAATCTTGCAATTTGTTCCCCCAACATTCTTTATGAATACACAAGTGCAGTTTGCAGTTCCCGAGGAGCAAGAGTATGTGACAAGTAGCAGTCAGGAAATTCTTAACAAATGCAGTTTAAGCATTAAGTTAGCACT